CTGCTGCTACTGCTACTGCTACTGATACTGCTACTCCTCCTCCTCCTACTAGTACAACTGCTACTACTACTGCCACTGCCACTGCCACTGCTGCTGCTACTGCTGCTGCTACTATTGCTACTGCTGCTACTGCCACTACCACTACTCCTACCACCACGACGACGACGATGACGACTACCCTACTGCTCCTGCTTTTGCTCCTGCTCCTGCTGCTGCCAGTGCTACTGCTACTGGCTGCTACTGACTACTTTCGACAGGATCCTGGCCTTCTCAGCGGTCTGTCAGCGGCTGCCCCGACAGAAGAGATTGCATTGCAGCAGGCCAGGCTGAACTCAGTTTTGCGAATTTTGCAGGTCGGGGGTGTGGCCGAATGCTCTCTGGGATGCTCTAGCGGAGCAGGTAGTCCAGCAACTTCAGAAAGCGTTGAGCGCTTTGGACAGCACGGTACCGTTCCCAGTCTGCTGAAAGCCTCGCTCCGGAGCTTGCGTTTTCCTTTCAATGAGGCGGCCCCGGAGAACCAAGCTTGTTCCGAGGGCCAGGCCGTCCTTATGGCTTCTGCTGTAGCTCTGAGCTCAGCGAAACTGCGCCCAGGTTCTTCTTGGGAAGGTCTTCTTCCGTCGCCTCGTCAAAATTCTGAAAAAGGGCTTAATGAGCCTTGCGCTTTGGCTTTCCGCCGAGGACAAGCCCTGGTGAGGCTCGCGAAGGCCGGAGCTCCGCTGAAGGCCTGCGGCCGGCTTGGCGAGGAGGCCTCGGAGGCGCAAATCGACCGGAGCACCCGAAGTCGCTTGCAGCATATGCACGTCAGGATGCCATCTTCGTCAGTGCACTGGACATCTTGGAGGCAGCCCTACATGTCTATCCCACTACCTGTAGAACCTGTGCGTGATGAAACCTCTTCAGTCGGAAGCCAAGCTGGGCCAAAGCTGGCCTCTCAGTCCTGTGGGACTGCATGCCATGGCATGTCAGTGATGCGTATCTTGCGTGCATTTTGTCCCTTCGAATTGCGAACAGAATCAGTCCCTCTGAGGCGGCAAGGAGGACTCCATCGTGAAGGAAGCCATGGAGAGACTGCATCAGGCGAAGCTCTCGCATAGCCTCTCGCAAAGCGTTGCAATCCATGTTGTCAACGTCATCTCCTGTTTTGTTCATTTTTGTGGCCTGCAGCGCCCCCCGCAGCTGACCCTGCAAGGCTGCTACATGCTTTCGATCGGCTGATGCCCCTGTTCCTTGCTGCTCCGTCCATGCCTGCTGTAGCCTGAGATACAAAGCAGATCAGCAATGACGAATGCTAGAAGCGTCTGGAAACCGCTCAGTTTGGGTTTCTTCTTCCCGCGTGACCGCCGTCATGCCACTTTCTTTCCGGGTTGCCCGCGGGAGGGCGAGGGGGGGGGCGGGGGTAGCTGTTCCAGCCATCGTTCGAACTCCTCTGAGACTGCCGGAGTTGATAGCAGAAGCTCAGCCCAAAAAGGATTGTCATGTGTCATCTCTTGCCTTCAGGGTTTGGTTCGTGGTTGTCTTCCGACACCGTCACGAAGTTGAACCTCGGATCGACGGGCATGTGCGGGCTTCGGGAATCAAAGCTTCAGAGTGCATTGTTGCGTGTGTGTGACTGTGCTTCTTCGGAGGCCGTTTTGTGCATCCCTTTTAGAAAGGCCGGTTGGCTACGGGGTCTAAAGGGAGCTTGAAAGCTTCGCATATGTTATGGTCCGCAGCAGTGCTTCTCGAATGCCTCGCAAGGACCAGACTAGTTTTTGACT